GGGATAGGGAGGGCTGGGATGGGAAGGCCATGCCAACAGCAATGCATTCAGGCTGTGATTTCACTCTTACAACGATCGGGCTCTGCTGAACAACTTGGGCTCATGCATTAATGCCCTAAATCACCCCAGTGCCTCTCTCTCACCGGGCCTGTCAGGCAGAGTGCACTGAGTGCTCTCAGAACACAACACACAGGCATAAGAGCAGGAATTGTTTCTTACCCATGTATGGCTTTGTCCCAGCCAATGCAGTTGCTCTTTCACCGTCCCTAATTATTGTTGCAATATTAAAATCTGTTAAATGGGCATGACCTTAAATAAAGACACATTTAAAGGAGGAATTAATGGCAGTGCAGTGGCAGTGCAGAGTGAGAACACATTTGTTTCATAAGCTTCTGCCCTCAGACTGGGAAGCATGGGCAGGTCAGAGGCAGATAAAGCAGGGCAGAGATCCTACCTTGCTCATCGAGGAGAATGTTGTCTGGTTTTACATCTCTGGGAAAAGAAGGAAGGTTACAGCAGATGGAATCTCAGTCAGACCAGGGATGCAGCTCAACAACAAAAGCCCTGTAACTTTCTATCAGAAATTAACAACAAATAAAACAAAAACACCCTAACATGAACCTTTATGATGCATTAGAAATAACCTTTTCCTGGGCAAGTGAGTGAAGAAGTGGGAGCATGGGATTGTTCAGGCATCATTCCCAAGGAAAACTAATCACACAATACCAGGAATATTTGTGTGAAGCCCTGGATGGTTTCGACATCCACTCTGGAAGGTTCAGCACCCAGCAAAGCATCAGGCTCCCTCGAGTGACAGGGCAGGATCAGCAGCCAGAGGTGCCCAGGACAGCAGAGACAAACCCACCCTGGGCAGCTCCCACCTGGCAGCAGTGCCTGCAGGGTTACCTGTGGATGATATGCTGGCTCTGCAGGTAGTCCAAAGCCAGGGCCATCTCACAGATGTAGAGTTTGACTGTTTCCTCAGTAAACTGAACATTTTGCTGCAGGTGGTAGCGCAGGTCTCCACCGAGGAGCAGGTCCACCACCATAAACATGTCTTCCTCATCCTGGAAGGAGTACCTGTGGGACCAGCTGTGGGTGAGTGGGCTGAGTCCCACAGGGGCCACAAACCACATCAGGCTTCCCCCTCTCCTAATTGCACAGCTCCTGTGAGAACTGCAAAGAGTCCCACCACACGCACAGAAACAGAACTGTTCAGGCTGGAAAAGCCCTCTGAGACCACCAAGTCCAACCACTCCCCAGCACTGCCAAGGCCACCACTAACCATGTCCTGAAGTGCCACATCCACATGGCTGTTAAATCTCCCAGGGATTTGACTCCACCACTGCCCTGGGCAGCTGTGCCAGGGCTGGAGAGACCTTTCCAGGAAGGAATTTTCCCTAATATACAACCTGAACCTCCCCTGGTACAGCTTGAGGTGTTTGCTCTTGTACTGCTGTTCCCTGGGAGCAGAGCCTGACCCCACCTGGCTGCACCTCCTGGCAGGAGTTGTAGAGTCGGAGAAGATCCCTCTGAGGCTCCTTTTCTTCAGGCTCCCTCAGCCACTTCTGCTGCTCCATTCCCTTCTCTGGACACACTCCAGCACCTCAGTGTCTGTTTTGGAGTGAGTGGCCCAGAACTAAATATGCCACTTTGGTGTTTGCACCTTCCCAAATAAGCAAGCCCAGCTCAAGTCTGGCCTGTTTTTTAACCCGCTGCTACACTAGGCAACAGTTCCTTGGCAGAAGTGAGTACCCCAGGTCACGTCCCCCTGCTCACTCAGTCACTGTCCCTCCCTCCCTCGCGGTGCCATCACCCCGCAGCGCAGAGCTCAGGCTTTGCCAGCCAGACACGTCAGAGAAACTTCACATTTTCAATTGCAAACAATCTCATAAACCTACTTAAAATACCTCTGTCTATCCTGAAGAAGAATCAGAGAACACAACTGCTAACTTAACCAGCAAACCTGGAAAAAGCTTCATATTTACTGTGGAGTAAATACGCCTCTCCAAATCTGCCATGGGCCCGTGGAGACTCACAGCACTGGGATACACCACAACTCTCATTGTTATATTTAGTGACTGGAGTTCCAAGGCAGGAATATGTGGGATTGTATAATACTTATGAATCATTCACTTCTGCTCCCATCTTGAATGTATTCTGAAAAGTATGAGCCAAAAGGGCAAAACTTGCTATGAGAGCAAGTTCTCTCCGGAGTTCCATTCCTTGTTGGAAAAAACATTTGCAATTGGTAAAATGCTGAAAAAATCAATATTACCTTAATTGGCTGTTGTGGTAATGGACCAACAGAAGGAATGTGAAGGATTACCCACTTCCACCACATTGGGTATGAAACTTTGTCCCCCACCAGCCTGACACGTACCCGGCAGTGCCAGAGCAGGAGGGGATGGCAGCGGCTGCCCCAGGCTCAGCAGGTGTGGGCACCTGAGCGTGCAGCTTCCCAGGAAAAACTGCTGCTCCTGCCCTGCCGGTGGCATCAGAAGCCCTTCACAGGAATTCCTCCAGCCTTAACAACACATCCCAGCAGAAAGGGGACAGCAAAGGTTTTCTGTAACATCTCACAGTGCTCTGAGAATACAAGCCATTGTGCCCACCAGCCTGGCATGTGCCCTGGGTTTGCCCACGCCCCAGCTGTGAGCAGAGGTGCTGCAAGGGTCAGGCAGAGGCACTGCTGCTGGACCACAGGTGAGGATGGATTTACTGAGCCCTGCCCTACATCAGGTGCTCCTCCACCAGCTGGGAAGGCTGAGAGGGGACAGACTACCTGGAGCATCCAGCCGAGGGTCCCGAAGCTTGACTCATCCCAAACTAACCAACTGCCTTAGGATATAATGCTCTACTTTCTAAAACTCACCAATTAAGTTTTTCCTGCAAAATTTGATAATGATATCTCTGAGCTCTATAGGAATGCATTCTATTTGGCCAGTGAATGTGTTGCAAAGCACACTGAGGGATTCTGGGGGATCAGTGTGCTTGCAGGGGAGACATATTGCATGTCCTTTTTTTTACTGTGACTCCCCAGGCAGGACGTGTCTCACAAGGATTACCAGCTCCAGCTGTGTGTTAGACTTCAGCCCAATTTGAGTTCTTTAAACATCACCCTAAAACACTGCTCAGGAACGAGGATGGTTTTGCAGTGCACACACAGTCAGTCAGCACTGATCAGTTCCAAATGTCACTGTAGTGCTGATCCCTTCAATTCCCAGGTGTGTGGCTCTGAGCACCCGAGGGCTGGTGGCCCCGGGGCAGAGGGAAGGGAGCTGCTCACCAGAGATTCACCAGGAACACGTGCTCGATCTCCTGCAGGATCTCCAGCTCCCTGAACACGTTGCGCACCTCGTCCCGTTCAATGCACTGGTGCTTGTTCATGTACTTCATGGCATACATCTTCTCCGTGTCTCTCTTCTGCACGATGCACACCTGCAGTGCCGCACGACAGGGAGAACAGACTCAGTATCGTGTTCCACAGCCTCATCTGCTGCTGTACGGGCTGAGACCCACACTGTCCAGCACCACATCCACCACATATCCCTGACCCCTGGGCTGGGACCTACGGCCAGCAGCATCCCTGCCCCGAGTGCATGGGCTCTGCTCCCCGACGGGCACTGCAGCAGCCCAGAGCTGCCTGCAGGACGCGGTGGAGAGCTCCAGAGAGCAATCCGAAGGGAGTAGTGTCTGAGAGCTGTGGGAGAGACCTCTGGGCTCGCTGCTGCGGTGAGGAGGTGACTCGGTAATAAGTGGTTATCGTTAGCCGCATCGAAACCCCCAATTAGCGATGCACACGGGAATCACCAGGATTGTTCTGCCACAGGCATAGGTGTGGTGGCAGCTCTGCACACCTCAGACCTCAAGTTAGGGGCACTTCACAGGCAGAGTGACCCAAGCTGTTTGCCCTGTGCCCAGTTCCTCCAGTGCACGTGGGCGAGCAGAGCACATCAGCCCCTGCTGCCGGGGACTGTTCCAGGTACAAAACATAAGGAAAAACCTCCTTCAATCAAACCTAATAACAATAAACAACCTACCACCGTGTGCACCCCAGCAGGATCCAGCCCCTGCCCACAGCAGGCTGAACTGGTTGTACATTCAATAAACCAGGCAAAAATAACTTTATCTATTATAAATTCTTTGAGCAGCAAAGCCTTAACAACATCCCTTTAAAACATGGTCACTGCTGTGAAAACAAACCTCTGAGTAACAGCCATCCAGGCACTGAGCAATGCTCTCTCCTGTTGTCAGTTCATTCCACATTATGCCTGCAAGCTCATTAATTTCTAGGTGGTTTGTTTTTCAGGTTGTGACTTGCTGTATCTTAACGGGTATTACATGTTATCCTGATGCCATTTACCTCTTGTTTCTCCGCAGGGGAAATGGGAGCCCAGCGCAATACATGAGAAAATAATGAATGCAATCATAATAAATAGTTTCCTGCAATGGAACAGCATCACCTCCACACAACACCAGCCCAGGCACTCTGGAAAGTTTTGCTCTCTGATTTCTGGGAAGAAACTCTGACGTGGGTGTCGATGGAGAGGCCTTTCCTGCAGCTGAGCCCCGTGGGATGAGCCCCAGACTGCCCTGTGCAGGGGGCAGGGAGGGGTCCCTGCAGTGCTGCCCTTGGCACAGTTCCTGGGCAGTGAACCCCTCGGCTGACCAACAGCTGTGGGGGTGCTTCAACAGCACCTCAGCCATACTCTGTCTGCACCATGACAGTCACCACAGCCGTGAACAGTTCACGGTCACGTCATGCTGCTCTTGGCAGGGATCTAACTCAAGCCAAACCCACGCCAGGACTGGTGTCGGTGCAGCCACAGCTCTCCTGCCACAGGCAGGGACACTGCATAAGGTGCCCCTGCTTGCACAACGTGTCTGTGTGTGTGTCCCTGAAACATCGGTGCCACAACACCTTTTTGTGCTTCTCCATCCATGCACCTGCTCCCAGGGAAGGAATAAACATCTGCTTGCTCACAAGCCACGAGTGGTCTGTTTAAATTATTCCCTATTCAGGCAGGGCACAGTGTGGAGCCAGGCAAGCAGCAGCACCAACAGTGCTCACTGCACACAACGAGGCCCTCGCAGCACCAAGGGAATGGGCAGTGCTTAGACAGCCAGCAGGAAAAGCGGCGTGGAAGGTGCCAGCCGTGCCAGGCATCAGCTGGGAGGGCACTGCTCCAGGTACGGCACATAAAAGCTGTAACAGAGCCCCAGGTACCCCGAGCGGTCACTCACTGCCAAGGGGTGGCTGCAGCTGGAGCCCACATCATGACTCGGGGCAGGAGAGGGGCATGGAGCACCTCCCAGGTCCTACTCGTTCCATGGGGTGACAGTTCCTGTACTGTCACCAGAGCTGCCAGCTCACCTGAATCCTTGCTCCTTCGGAGCCCCCCACTTCACTCTCACACAGACCTCGCTTTGGGCTAAAGCCTCAGGAGACACCTCAGTCCATAGGTCCAAAGTACTCACTGTCACACCATGGACTGTGCACCAAAAGGTCCATAACCCACCACGAATTGTTCTGCTCCTCTCATCAGTCCCTGGATACCCTCACTGAGCTGCTGCTTACAGGAGTTATTGCTATTTTCCACCCAGCTGTGGTGCAAGGTGCCATGGAAATAGAGGTCAGGGATCTGGGGGTTTCTGGTGTCCAGGGCACTCAGGCCTTACGTCCTTTTGTGAGGTTTTTCATTGGAGCTAATTTAGGATACTTTTTCCCCGTCTCCATTTTTGCTGCTCTGTACGTTTCCCAGCCCAGCTCACTCTCCCAGGCAGGATTTG